TTCTTAATTAGTTATTTGGCAAATACTAGCTTTATATTATTTATTTTATTGTTCTTTTTCTTATAATAATATAAAGTGAATAGTTGGTTTTTTTAATTAGTTATTTGGCAAATACTAGCTTTATATTATTAGAATTTAAAGACCACATATAGCTATAAACAGTTTGATTATTAAGGCTTTTTTTTCTTTGGTTATACTCTATAGACATTTCTAAGTTTTAAAGTCTAATAATCCTTATACAGAATAAACATTTTGTTATGCCTGATCTGTACAGACTGAACAGTAGAATTAGTTTAAAAGCTAGTTCTATTGTTATATTTTATAGTGTCTAGAAGGCTATTGAATTTAAATTCTACTTTTATATATTTATTTCTTATTTTTGTTTATTTTTATTTATTTTATTTTCCTTTAAATAAAAGACCTCTACTTGACACTTGTGCTATTAAAAATTATTACAGCTTGCTAGTTTTTAGTAAATTTTATTATAGTGTTAAAGTAACCTCTTGGGTCATTTGACTTTATTTAACAATGGTAAATGTGATTTAGTGAACTATTACAGAAAGTGTATACAATTGGCTAAATATATAACTTTATTGTTATACCTAATATTCCTGCTTGAGTATTTTACTTTAAATCTTCTAAACTTGCAAACCTGTTAATTTTACTAGATTATATCTAATGCCCAGATTATTATCTCAATCTTAGAACTATTTTATTCTAGAAGTAAACTCCTTAGAGCCTTCTGTATTTATTTTTACAGCTGACCTAAATATCACTATAGTAGAACCAACACTTGCGATCAGGACTTAACCATTAAACTGCTATGTTCTTGCAGAGTTTACTTAGTTTTTAGCATCTACTTTATAGCATAACTACAGTACTTTAGTATACTTTTGTCTTTTTACCTGTCTTTTTACTAAACTTTCAATCCAGATAGCCAGTGTAAGACTATAACCAGTTTATTAATATATCAGGTTATTCTAATATTCTTTTTCTCTAATTCATTCTGATAATCTGGTTGGTAGTATTTCTGAGACTTCTAACTCAAAGGTTTTTGTTTATTTAGCTACTATGACCAGGTACTACAATCTTGGTATCTGTTTTTCTGAACTAGTCTTTACAGTAAGGCCATTTAAGATTCAACTACTTCTCTATTTAAGTCTTTCTAAATAGACTTCTTGTTACCCAATTTTAATAGATTTATATAATTATAAGGACTTAATTAGTGTTCATATTGCCTAATTGCCAGTTGCATTTCTTCATGTAACTACAGACCTTGTTCCAAAGAACAATGTTATATGACTATTATACAAATGCCCTATAACTTGCCAATCATACTGATGCAATCACTATTACAAGTATTCTAACTCAATCATTAATAACAGTTGATATAATATGAATATTATATAGGTGATTATTCAAATTTTTGTCATCAATGAGATTTGAACATTTAATCTATCACTTAAAAGGTTGACAATCTGACTATTTTACTAGGTTGCCACACCTTATTATTAATTATTATTATTATTATTATTTAATATTAGTTATATTATTATTGTATTATTATTATTAATTGCTAGAACTTTTTAGTTACTTAGTAATTACTTAGTCACTTAGTTACCTAGTTGTCTAGTCACTTAGTTGTTTAGTCACTTAGTTATTTAGTAATTAGTTATTTAGTAATTATTAATTATTAGTTGCTAGAATCTTTTGGTTACTTAGTAATTGCTTAGTTATTTAGTCACTTAGTTGCTTAGTTACTTAATGTTTAGTTACTTAGTTATTTGGCTGCTTAGTTGCTTAACTTACAAATATATAAACTCTGCTAAATTTTCCAAGACCAAAAAAGCAACAAATACCCTTTTTCTTTTTAATATTATAAATATACCTTGAGATTCTTTAAAAACAAAAACTTAAGAATAACCCTTTTTGTTATTACTTTAATAAACAGCTTTTAATTATAAACTATATTGATATTTTCTCTTTAAAGTAATTCTTATAGGCAAGATTTATCACTTCTTGGTAAAATAAAATAAAGTTATTAGTATTGTATTATCTTTTCTAAACTGTCTTAAAAAAAGATATAGTTTCTTGATAATGTTTAATAGAAATTATATTTCCTTCTTAAATATTATATATATCTGTAAGGAATTTTCTATGCTGTGTTATTGTTATAGTATGAAATTAAGAAAACTTTTAAGAGATGTGATGACTTAGTAAAGTGAATAAGTTGTCAACCTTCCAAGTGATAGGTTGAAAGTTCAAAACCATTGATAGCAAAAATTTGAATAATCACCTATATAATATATAGACAGTATTACGGTGATGGCATTCTGTCGATCAGTTGAAATAGGATATCTGTAACTAGTCATACCAGTATAACTAGCAGGTTATAAAGCATCTGTGTAATCTTAGTTATACAGAGAAATGCAAACCAGTACTAGGCAGTACAAACCTAAGATAAGCTCTTATAGCTGTGTAAATCTGTAGAATTGAAAAACCAGAGCCTACTTGAAAAGATCTGAGTAAAGAGATAACACAGATCTATGACAGTATTACTGTAAAGGCTAGATCTAGGAAACAGATACCAATGTAGAGAAGCCAGATGGGCAAGAACCTCAAGTGAGAAGTACTACTAACCAGGTTGCCAGAACTGAATCAAAAGAAAAAGATATCAGGTTAGCTTAATATATCAAGAACAGATTACAGTTCTATTAGGCTATCTGAATTGAAAGTCTGAAGTTAATGCAAAAATATATTATAAGTACTAGAAATATGCTGTGAAGTAGATGCTGAGGTTTAGGTGAACTCTACAAGAGTTAGTCTTGTTAATATTCCATAAAGTAGATAGGTAGTTAACAAGAAGGTACTTTGAAATCTTACAGTCAGGTAACATATTCTGAAATGTTTAACAGCTTGACAAATATACAAAAGGAAATAGTTAAATGTTGGGTTAGATAGCACTTAGTTGTACAAGAACCAGGTATTATTCATCTGAGTGTAGTATAAGGATCAGAATGTTTAAATAGATACTTTCCTAGTAGGTTACAAGCATGGCAGCTAGTGTAGAACTCTTGGATAGACTATTTAAATAGGTATCCAAAACTTATATGTATAGCTAGTTGCACATTTACCTTGTACAAGTTATATATAATGCATTGACCAAAAACACAAATAAAAGTAGTAGCTACTGATAACATCAGCTTTAAAAAAAAAAAAAACTTTTATTTATAACAATATTATTGTAAAGACTAAATCTAGAAAACAAATATCAAGATTATAGTATTCAGATAAGCAAAAGCCTTTATGTTAAGAGTTTTAGAAATATTACTAACCAAGTTACTAAAACAAACCAAAGAAAAAAAATATTAAATTAATCTAATATATTAATAAACTGATTGTAATTTTATACATACTATCTAAATTGGAAGTTTGATGAAAAAACAAAGATATGCTATAAAGTAAATGCTAAGGTTTAAATGAACTTTACAAGTATATAATAATTAAATATTATTACTCTAATTACAAGTATTAATTCTGTTATAATAATATCAAATCAATTGTAAAAATAGGTTTAGAAAAATTTAAAATATTTATTTCAAGAATAAAATAATTCCAAGGTTTAAATAATGACCTGAGCTTAACCCAGTGATGTTAACACAAGTGCAGGTTCAAGGATTTAAAATAAAACAACCAAGCAAAGATGTTAGATACAGGTAAAAAATCTTCAGGTAAACTTTTTAAATAAGTAATATAAAAAAGTTATAGCCAATTATATACTCTTTCTGTAATGGTTTATAGAATCACATTATCAAAAGACCAAAAAGGTCACCTTGACACCAAAAATTAAAATATAATATAAACACTAGTATATTTCGTAAAATATTTTTAATAGAATGTGATTGGCTGATAATCATGTGACATTAATTTTGATTGGTTTAGAAGATTTCGGAAGCGATCTGCATTTCGTGTAACTTTGACGGTCTCCTGTTATTTAATGATCGACCAATCGGATTTAAAGATCACTGTGCCAAATACATAAACATCGACAATTATACTGTATATATCTCATGACCGTGATCGTTAATATAAATTGTCGATCAAACGCGCCTTAAACTTCTTTCTTTCCGAAGATCTAATCCCTACACGTAATCTAGTTTCATTAACATACGTTTATTAACCTTTTAATAACATTTTAACTAATGGGTGAGAGATCTTTGAGAAGAAGGCGCCATAATCCCTACACATCGACAGCAAGGTAGTTACTATTAGAGTGTGATTAGACGCGTTATGTCGAGTCCTTGTACAAATCTTTTTTATTTTTTATGATACCCTTATTATTTTATACATTTTATATGCTATTAGTAATGCTCTTTATGTTGGATATGTGGAAGATGACGAATCAATAGAAGCTATAATGAAAAAATTCGAAGAATTAGAACGGATCAGAGAAGAAATGGGCATTACAAAACATGGATCAAATTCTGAAGTTGACTCTCCTGTTAAACAATCTAATTTACAAGAAACTGAAGACTTAACACAGGAGCAGCTTGAAGAGGTTTTTAGAAGAACATCAAGTTTTACCGTCAAATCTGCCACTTTCGCTCCAAATCTTGACGAAGTAGATGATTTGGATTTTTGGAGGATTGAAATGGAAGATGGAAATACTGCTGAATATGAAGAAGAAGAGTATGTTTACAATGATCTGTTATCTATTGCTATCTACTGCTACTTACTGTTATTTATTATTATGTCTCATTCTTCTCTTAATTTTTATATAGTGAATATATGACTGTCGACAACGACTTCTGGGATGAAGAATTCGGCGAAAGAAAACGCAGAAAAAGTGATAAATCTGGCTCAAGTCGACGGTCGGGTTTAGACAGAGAAACTTTGTTACAACGCTATAAAATTATGCAAGTTAGACTTCAAGATAGAAATGGTAATTTTTTTACGGTCAAGAAGAAAGTAAGGTGAATAGTGGTCGAATTTGATAAGGTCATCATTCTTATTTCATTTTGTTTTTAAAAAACAAATAAACAAGTAAATATGTAAATGGCAACAATGAATCAACTACCTTTTTAACTTTATCTCATAAAATGCAACAGTAACATCGATCCAAGTCTTCCAACCTATATGAGGATCCCCCCGTTACCAATACCACGCTCTTGGGCCCTTACGATATCTCCTCCATCAATTGAGCTGGTCTCTCCTGTCCTTGGTTCAAGGTATGTTTCAACTCTTTTTATTGGATAATATATTATTTATATATATTTGTTTCCTTTTATTTTTTCCTTTTATTTTTTATTATTTTTTTTTTGTCAACGTACTTTAGATATTTTGAAAAAGATATCTTATCAATGGACTTTACAAAACTCGGCTCTGAGTTTCAAGCAATATATATTGATCCCCCACTCCTTCTGCCAGGTGAAGCACCATCTCCAGGAAAGATTTCTATTCAGCAATTTGTATGTTAATGTCTTGAAAATTAACTATAATTATTCCGCTAAATATATTAAATTTTATTAAATTTTATTTATCAAAATATCAGGGTAATCTCAATTTAACTGTACTCGTTCCAAAAGGTTTCTTATTCATCTGGGTTGAGAAAGAATTTGTTCCAGATATTGTTCAAATAGCTGAAAAATGGCGTTTCCGTTATGTGGAGAATTTCTGTTGGATAAAAAAGAATATCAACAATCAAATATCGCGTAATCCATATCGTTATTTTAACAAATCAAAATTGTCCCTTTTAATTTTCCGAAAGGTTTTTTTAATAACATTTAATATCACTACGTCTCTGGCTAAATGTTAACGTTTTGATATATAACTTTTTAAATAGGATGGTGATATTGAACTACGTCATCAAAGGAATCCTGATTGTGTATTCGATTTCATAAAACCTCGTACTCCAGGTATAATCAATATAATAATATGTTACCTATGAATTGTTCAATTGTTGTTATTTATTTAATATTTTATATATACAGATATGCTTACAGAAGCTAAACCACGAGTTATGTATGAAATTATAGAGACTTTACTGCCACAAGCTGTATTTAGTGAACAAAATAATAAAGGTGATAAACTATTAGAGTTGTAGGTTATTCTGTTCAATGTCATTTATTATTTTATTTTATATTTGACAATACATGTTGATTTATAAACGTTCATATATTTTAGATGGGCAAAACAGGGAGTCCGTCGTCAAGGTTGGACAACAGTCGTTCAACCAGTTTAGAGGATCGTCTAGAGGTTGGAATCGAATATCCGAATCAATTCGTATTATGTATGAATTTGAATTAATTCGAATATTCAAAACCATTATACAGCTATTACGTAAGCCGGTACATAGCCTTTACATAGCCTTTACATAGTCACAACAAAACCATTATTATAAAATCTTAAGCAATTATTTTTAGCTGTATAACAAATTTGTTATACAACAAACTGTTACGTATAATAAGTTGCAATATAAAAAGCCGTTACATATACAAACCTACATCACAAGCCACTATTAAAAATGTTTACAACAAACTTTTATGGCATGTGTTCTTCATAAAGTTTGAAATGGAGTATGTTCAAGTCAACGAAACGATGACTAAGAAAGGTATGCTGCTATTATTTCTAACCGAGCATGCAGATAATATAACATCGTGCGAACGAGCACATGAAACTGATAGGTACTGTTATTCGTTTAACCACATTTAACCGTTTATTTATGTTATATCGATATGGTTAAACGATTAATAAATATTATAACAGTTAAATCGTTTATTATAAACTCATGTTCCGTACAACGTAATTTGTATTTACGGTGCGATAATAAATAAAAAAACATCTTTATAATAAAGTAAATAGTTAAATTTCGTATTCTTTATGTATTTTAATCTAATATAAATATATTTAATATAATTTTTTATTAAAATATCTCACGACTAACGGTTCAATATAATTACTACAATATTATTTTATACACTCGAAACTGCTGTCAAAATTAGCAAATTCTCTATCTCGGCAAAATTTACAAAGACAATCTCGTTTTCAAAGCCTAAATATAAAAAAAAATAAAAAAAAACGTAAGTTATCGAAATAAGCTTAGTAAGTGTGGATAACGCGAAGGGATGCTTTGAGCATAGTTTAAACTTCGTGGAGTCTGAAGGGATGCTTAGAGCATAGTTTAAACTCCAAACC